TGGGGGGCGGTGGGGAGGGCGTGGGTGCGGCGGTGGTAGAGGAATTTGGTCATGTTGAGGAAGGATTTGCCGCAGGGGCAGCGGTGCAGGGGGTTGGGGGAGTGGGTGCGGCGATGGGCCAGGAGGACGGGCTCGGTGTCGAAAGCCAAACCACAATCCAGGCAGAGGAAGTGGGATTCCCCGCTGTGACCCCCCCCTAAATGTTGTTGGAGGCTGGGGGGGGCGGGGAAAACTTTACTGCAGAGGGGGCAGTGAAAAGCCCCCAAACGGTGCGAGCGGAGGTGGAGCTGGAGCTGAGATCAGGCACTCGCAGTTTTGGCTGCCATTCCCCATAGAGACTTGCTCCCAAAATATTCTTGATGCTTCTGGTTCGTTTCTTCACGGTGGTGGTTGTCACCTCCTCTGTCTCTTCTTTCAGCTCGTAGCTGTGATCGGCGGCCGCCGCCGCTTCGTTACCGTTAACGGGGGGCGTTAAATGAGCCGCCTGATGCTCCAGGAAATCTTTGGGGGTTTGGAAAAGCTGGAGACATTCCCCACATTCGTAGAGGAGAAGCTGCACCGTCTCCTCCCCACCTTCACCACTCTCCGTTGTCCCCACGTTGCCTCCTTCTTGCTCCTCTCCCTCCTCTTCCTCGCCCGGTTTGCGGTAGGAATGTTCCAGATCCACCAGCGCCTGGTTGTGGGGTTGAGAAGAAGGTGGATTTTGGGGCAGTCGGTGGCTTTGTCGATGGTTTAACCAAACTTCTTGGCTGTTAAAAAGAGCTTTACACTCCAAACACTCGTAGTGGATCTGCCCGGAGCTGGGTTTGAGGGTGGAAGAAGAAGAAGGAGGAGGAGGAAGAGGAGGAAGAGAAGATGGGGGAGGCTCCGAGTCCTGCCCCAACATCTTGATGTGCATCTCCTGATGTTCCAAAAGCTGCCCCGGCGACACCAGTAACTGCCCACACTCCAAACATTGGTACTGGCTGCTCTCGGGGACGGCTAAAGCTTGGTAATCGCCTCCCAGTCCCACCAGTTCCAGGTGCTGGGGGTGCTGCTGGTGCTGGGGGGGGCCCAGGTGGTGCTGCTGGTGGAGGAGGGCGTCCTCCAGGGAAGCCGAGAGGTGGTTGCACTCGGAGCAGACGTAACGATGTTCCACCAGCAGCACCGTCTCCTCCCCCGGCTCCCCCATGGCGGGCAAACTGGGGGGGGCAGGGAAAAGGGGGGGGGCATAGGAGACAAAAAAAAAACCCAAAAAACTCAAAAAAAAAAAAAGGGGGGGGTATATCTTCAGAGATTGTTTCAGTGTTGTATCTTTTAACACGTGCCATAAATCATCTACTGTCCACTCACTGTAGGTTTCCTCTCATTTTTGTCGCCTTTGTGGTTCAATGGTTTCGGGAGAGATTGGCCCAAGAGGTAGGTTTTGGTGGTGGGATACATTCAGAAAAGCACTGTGGACCCTAGACAAGGCAAGGACTAGGAATGCAGATACAAATCAACAGCTGAATACAGTTCCACTCTGTTCTTTACTTTTTCCCCCACAAAAACACAAATAATCAGCACACAAATAATACACTGCTGAAATTTTAGCTGATCCAAACTGCAATAGAAGCAAGTTTTGTATGTGTTGAGACCAATACAGGAAAGGTTTAACTCTTACAAATTAATCCCCTCTTTTTGCCTACATTCCCCAGCAACTGAGGACGTTCAGATTCAAAATACTGGCTAGTTGCCCTTTTTTTGCAATCAGCAGAAGAGATTTATATGACACAGTTAATAAGCTGCAAGAGGAACATACACAGTTCTAGCCTGTGAATCCTGATTTAGAACATGAAGAATAATTCTAATAGCACAAAAAATTTTATCAAAAGCCAGGCTGCATTTTGCCTCTCTTTACCTATAGCAGAGGCCAAATCCTAGTAATGTCCTCAACTGACTTAGATTTAGCCACATATCATAAGTGTGATGGCAAGCAGCCAGAAGGGATCATCAGCAGATGGCAGAATTGACTACAATCTATTTTGTAGTTAGACCACATGGCTATGTTTGCATCTACTGGGGAAATAAGACTTTTGAAGGGGTGGAGAAAAAAGTAAGTTACATTCAGAAAGCTCTGTAGATTATTACCACCCCACACACACTCCAACCCCACCCCTAAAGGAACAAATGAGAAAAATAAAATACAGAGGAATGTCTTGAATAGGAAGCTACTAACAAGTGTGTTCCTGATTTCTGCACAATTGCTGTGGACATACTCCTGGTCAGACAGATGATTCGGGCTTTATCTCTGTTTGGTCAGGTGTCATGGGGGATTACATAGCAAGATACCCAGCAGTACAGGTCAGAATTAACAGGCTCCAACATATCGCGTGCAACACGGGTACGGTGTCAACTTTGGTCCAAGTTTTAGAAAGATTTTACACCAATATTTGAGGTGGTTATATTAGCTGTCTGCAACCAGTGACTTGTGAATCTCATCCCTCCCTAGATAATCCCTTGTTGCTATACTAGAATCAAGGGATACAAACTATCGTCATCAGTTGTATCATGTTTTAGAAAAATCAGCAAAAGTCAGAGGCACATGTGCTACAAACTGTTCAAGAGCTCAGCTACAGACCACCCCTTCCTTGGGCAGCTTGCCATCCCTGTAAACCAAGACAGGTAATACTTCAATCCACCCTTTTTTCAACTTTTCACAGATGGAGAAATGAGGCTGAGCATCTCTGTGGCTTTCTCAGCTTCACAGCCTGTCAGAGGAGTTTTTACTGCTGAAACTCAGGGGCGTATCTTAGTCACAAAGCCATGTCCAAACCAAACTTGAAGAGTCCAGAGAACAGAGCCCAAGTCCACAGATGGAATGAAAACCTCTGAGCAGTTTCAGTGTACCAAGAGCTATAGTACCTGTAGAAGTGAGTAACAGTGGATAATTAAGGGAAAGAGAGAAAGGGGAAGATTGGGGAGGTCTGGTAGTGGGGAAAATAAATCATTAGCAATGTTACTGCTTCTTTCCTTAAACTCTCTCCTGAAAGCTTTAGACACGATTGTCTCAGTTGATGTTTTTCAGATGAGGTAACAAAATCTTGCAAAGCTAGGGATCATAAACAGTCAACCACTAGCCAGCTAATTTATATCATTATTTGCAGTTTTAAGCTTAATCAGCACCATGTGTCCCCACGAGATGACTGAGTAGCACTGCACAAGGTTATACCATCTGGTGCTGGGTTTTTACTTTCTTTTGATTTTTAGCTGTTACCACTAATTCTTGTGTACCCACTGTCTCCCTGAGCTTCAGGCCCTTCTTCTGCCAGATCGAGATCCCATGTATAGATGAAAATGCAGATACAGAGAATGTTTGCTTCCCGCCTCCGCAATCACTCACAAGCACGTAATTTCTCACTCACTTTCATGCCTTACCCAGAATTCCTTTCTTTGCCTTCTTCAGTTCACCCTTTTCTCTCTCATCTCTTCTGACCTCTCAGTGAAACAAGTAATATCAGCCCAGGAAAAGTAATATCATGTCTTCTAATGACAGTCCATGTTGACCAGATGACGCCTACTCAGAGTACGCAAGCAGAGTTCAGCATGATCATGTCTGTCTTCATTCCCCAAAAGAAGATCTAGTGTCTGCGTAAGAACACCAAGTTTTGTCCTTATACCTGATGAAGACAGGCACATGAGCAGCATGTGTGTACCTGTCTCACTCCTGCAAGCATCCATTAACAGAATCTCTCATCAGTAAGCGCCATAACTTCTAGAATATGCAATGTGTTGTTTTAAAACTCTTACACTCAAGAGCAGGACTTCGTACTCTCCTCCTATCAAAATATTCTCCTTGATCTAAAACTAAAGATAATTCCACTAAATATAAAACATCCAATACCAAAGAGCTGTGATAAATCAATTTTCCTTCCCTGCAGTACAATCTAGATTTAGTCACTTAGTACATCTTAATAAACATGCTACTCATTCAAAGGAAAATAAATGAAATGCTTTGCCTTGAGGGACAGTTTTACTTAATAGTTTGGTGCTACAATGACAGAACATATGATCTGTCAGTATGAACATCTTTTGTTCTCTGGAATGTTTTGAAAAAGGGTGGTCTGCCTGCCTCACAGTAGACCATGCTTAAGAAGCATAACGCCCCTTCATTCACAGCAATGCCCTTAAAAACACGGGAAAACTATTTTGGTAATTGGTAAGAAAAATCAAACAGAAATCCCAAAACAAAAAAAAAAGTGCTCCTGTGGAAAGCAATTTCATAGTTTCCAAAGTTTGTGATATACTATACACCAAGTAACAGATTTAAAAAAGAAAAAAAAAGACTAATTATTATGGCAACATGATTTAAACAGTTAAAAAAAAAAATCAAACAAGCAGCTGAAGGACTCATGGTACTTTTTCTAAGCAGAAAAGAATTTGACAAAATAATGAACTTCAGAGCACTATTATGGCTGAAGCTGCCATCCCTACTCCTGACAAACAGAAATTGCATCAATTGAGGAAGCTCAGCTGCTCTGTGCTCCAAGCAGTCATGCATATACAGATGTCTGTGACATGGATATCATAGAACAAACAATAAGCATTAATCCAATCCTGCTGGTGAACACAGACCAACTGCAATGTGAAAATTACTACATCTTTAATTATCTGTCCCCACACATATGTATTTTCTAGATACAGCTGCATATATTTCATTTATAAGCAAAATTAATTACAAGGGTAGATTTGAAGTAACTCCATGAGCCCTGAAAGAAATTCCTCTCAACCTACATCACCATTAGAGATACTGGCATCTGATCCCACATACCCAAACAAAATAATTCCCTATCGTGGCCAGTAACAACACCGATGTTTATTATGATTATCTAATCCTTATCCCAAAAATACACACATATTGACAGACAGTGGAAGATGGTTGTTGGATTGGGGGGGGTTGGGGGGGAATCGCTTCCTTGGAGAACCTCAAGGTGATGGCTCCATGGAGGACGTCAAGGTCATGACGTCATGGAGGACCTCAAGGTCATGACATCCATCATGGAGGGCCTCAAGGATGTGGCATCATGGAGAACCTCAAGGTCATGACTCCATGGAGAACCTCAGGGTCTCAACATCATGGAGGTCCTCAAGGTCACAACATCATGGAGGACCTCAAAGACATGACGCCATGGAGGACTTCAAGGTCATGACTCCATGGAGAACCTCAAAGACAAGACGCCATGGAGGACCTCAAGGACATGGCATCATGGAGGACCTCAAGGTTACTACATCATGGAGGTCCTCAAAGACAAGACGGCATGGAGGACCTCAAGGTCATGACTCTATGGAGGACCTCAAGGTGATGACTCCATGGAGGACCTCAAGGTCACAACATCATGGAGGTCCTCAAGGTCATGATGCCATGGAGGACCTCAAGGATGTGGCACCGTAGAGGACTTCAAGGTCACTACATCATGGAGAACCTCAAGGTCAAGACACCATGGAGGACCTCAAGGACATGTCACCATGGAGGACCTCAAGGATGTGGCACCGTGGAGGACCTCAAGGTCACGACATCATGGAGGACCTCAAGGACACGACGCCATGGAGGTCCTGAAGGACATGATGCCATGGAGGTCCTCAAGGACATGTCACCATGGAGGACCTCAAGGATGTGGCACCATGGAGGACCTCAAGGTCATGGCATCGTGGAGGACCTCAAGGACGTGGCATCATGGAGGACCTCAAGGTCACAACATCGTGGAGGGCCTCAAAACATGACACCATGGAGGACTTCAAGGTCATGACTCCATGGAGAACCTCAAAGACAAGACGCCATGGAGGACCTCAAGGATGTGGCACCATGGAGGACTTCAAGGTCAAGACTCCATGGAGGACCTCAAGGTCATGACTCTATGGAGGACCTCAAGGTCATGATGCCATGGAGGACCTCAAAGACATAACTCCATGGAGAACCTCAAGGTGATGACTCCATGGAGAACCTCAAGGTCACAACATCATGGAGGACCTCAAGGTCATGACTCCATGGAGAACCTCAAGGACGTGGCATCATGGAGGACCTCAAGGTCATGGCATCATGGAGGACCTCAAAGACATGATGCCATGGAGGACCTCAAGGTCATGACTCCATGGAGGTCCTCAAGGACGTGGCACCACGCAGGACCTCAAGGCCATGGCACTGTGGAGAACGTGGCACTGTGGAGGTCCTCAAGAGCACGAACACGGCAGAGGACCTCAAGGACATGGCACTGTGGAGGATCTCAAGGACGTGGCATCAAGGAGGTCCTCAAGGATATGACATCATGGAGGACCTCAAGGACATGGCGCCACGGAGGACCTCAAGGCCACAACATCGTGGAGGTCCTCAAGAACACAGCACCGTGGAGGTCCTCAGGGAGGTGACGTCCCCAAGGCTGGGGCCACTGCAGAGGCCCTTGAGGACACGGCACCATGGAGGTCTGCAAGACGATGACGTCATGGAGATCCCCAAGGTCACGCTGTGGTGGAGGACCTCAAGGATGTGCTACCACGGAGGACATCAAGGATGGCCATCATCTTCATCACCATGGGATGTGGCACCAAAGAAGTCTCCAGGGACGTGGCACCATGAAGGACCTTCAGGGGACAACCCCGTGGAGGTCCACGAGGACCCAAGACCATGGAGGACCCCAAGGATGTGCCATCACAGAGGTCCCCAAGGCCACCACACCACGGAGGTCCCCAAGAACACACCACCACGGAGGACACGACACCACGGAGGTCCCCAAGGACCCAGCCAGAGGCCATGACCCCATGGAGCTCCCTGGGGTCACACCACCACGGAGGTCCCCAAGGCCATGACACCATGGAGGTCCCCAAGGCCATGAACAGGGGCCACCAGCACCTGGAGCTCAGTCCCAGCATCCAAGTCACCACCGTCACCATCATCATCATCGTCATCATTGTCACCGTGGCCACCACCATCATCACCACGACTACCACGGAGGACATCAAGGATGTGCCACCACGGAAGTCCCCAGGGATGTGGCACCAAAGAAGTCTCCAGGGACGTGGCACCATGAAGGACCTTCAGGGGACAACCCCGTGGAGGTCCACGAGGACCCAAGACCATGGAGGACCCCAAGGATGTGCCATCACAGAGGTCCCCAAGGCCACCACACCACGGAGGTCCCCAAGAACACACCACCACGGAGGACACGACACCACGGAGGTCCCCAAGGACCCAGCCAGAGGCCATGACCCCATGGAGCTCCCTGGGGTCACACCACCACGGAGGTCCCCAAGGCCATGACACCATGGAGGTCCCCAAGGCCATGAGCAGGGGCCACCAGCACCTGGAGCTCAGTCCCAGCATCCAAGTCACCACCGTCACCATCATCATCATCGTCATCATTGTCACCGTGGCCACCACCATCATCACCACGACCACCACGGCCATTGTCACCATCGTCACCACCATCACCATGGCCACCACTACCATCACCGTTGTCACCATCATCACCAGGGCCACCATCATCATCACCATGAGCACGATCCTCATCATGACCATCGTCACCATGGCCACCACCATTGTCACCATCATCACCATGGCCATCATCTTCATCACCATGACCACCAACGTCATCATGACCATCATGACCATCATGACCATCGTCACCATGGCCACCATCTTCATCACCATGACCACCATCATCATCATGACCATCGTCGTCATCATGACCATCGTCACCATGACCACCATCTTCATCGCCATGACCATCGTCATCATGACCATCATCACTGTGGCCACCACCATTGTCACCATCATCACCATGGCCACCATCTTCATTGCCATGACCACCATTGTCACCATGACCATCATCACCATGGCCACCACCATTGTCACCAGCATCGCCATGATTGTCACCATCATCACCATGGCCATCATCTTCATCACCATGACCACCAACGTCATCATGGCCATCATCACCATCATGACCATCGTCACCATGGCCACCATCTTCATCGCCATGACCATCGTCATCATGACCATCATCACTGTGGCCACCACCATTGTCACCATCATCACCATGGCCATCATCTTCATCACCATGACCACCAACGTCATCATGGCCATCATCACCATCATGCCCATCGTCACCATGGCCACCATCTTCATCGCCATGACCATCGTCATCATGACCATCATCACTGTGGCCACCACCATTGTCAGCATCATCACCATGGCCACCATCTTCATTGCCATGACCACCATTGTCACCATGACCATCATCACCATGGCCACCACCATTGTCACCATCATCACCATGGCCACCATCTTCATTGCCATGACCACCATTGTCACCATGACCATCATCACCATGACCACCATCGTCATCATGACCATCGTCACCACCATGACCATCATCACCGTGGCCACCACCACCGTCACCATCATCGCCATGGCCACCATCTTCATCACCACGACCACCATCTTCATCACCATGACCACTATCGTCATCATGACCATCGTCACCATCATGACCATCGTCACCGCGGCCACCACCACTGTCACCATCATCGCCATGGCCACCATCTTCATCACCATGACCATCATCACCATGGCCACCACCATTGTCACCAGCATCGCCATAGCCACCATCTTCATCACCATGACCATCGTCACCATGGCCACCACCATTGTCACCAGCATCGCCATGGCCACCATCTTCATCACCATGGCCACCATCATCACCATCATGACCATTGTCACCATGGCCACCACCCTTGTCACCATCATCACCATGGCCACCACCTTCGTCACCATGGCCACCACCCTTGTCACCATGACCACCACCGTGACACCATCATCACCATGGCCACCATCTTCATCACCATGACCACCGTCTTCATCACCATGATCACCACGGTCACCACCATGACCTTCATCATGACACCATCATCACCATGACCACCGTCTTCATCACCATGATCACCACGGTCACCACCATGACCTTCATCATGACACCATCATCGCCATGACCACCATCTTCATCACCATGACCACCATGACCACCACTATGACCTTCGTCATGACACCATCCTCACCATGACCACCATCTTCATCACCATGACCACTGTCTTCATCACCATGACCACCATCGTCATCATGACCATCGTCACCACCATGAGCATCATCACCGTGGCCACCACCATCGCCATGGCCACCATCTTCATCACCATGGGCACCGTCTTCATCACCATGACCACCACCATGGCCACCACCATCGCCATGGCCACCATCTTCATCACCACGACCACCACGGTCACCACCACGACCTTCATCACCGTGGCCACCACCATCGCCATGGCCACCATCTTCATCACCATGACCACTGTCTTCATCACCATGACCACCATCTTCATCACCACGACCATCACCATCACCACCATCATGGTGGCCACCACCATCATCATCATCATCACCATCACCATCCCCCCCCCTTTCCGACCCCCACAATTACACACTAATTAACGAGGACCCTCC